CTCACGGACCCATCGGCCCCCGCCCGGACGGCGGGGGCGATCGAGGCGTACTCGGAAAGGGTGTGGGTAGGGGGCGGGGGAGGAGCAGGACGAAGAGAAAAAGGATGAGGAGGAGGAGGAGGAGGAGGAGGAGGAGGAGGGATGGAGCCAGCATGAGCCCATGGTGCATCCACGATGGTGCAGAACACCCTCGCGTCCCAAGTCCATTCCTCAAAACATCAAAATTGCAAGAAGGTCTCCACACTGCTGGACACACGACCATTGACAGATGAACGCCCCCTGGACTGCTACAGACGAAAAAGTGTTGTTCAGGCAGGGGAGGGAGAAGGAGGGGAAGGAGGAGGAGGATGAGAGAAGGAGGGGAGGATGGGGAGGAGAGGAGATGCTGTTGGAGCGGGCACTGGGTCAACAGCCCTTGTCGCCCCCGTCGCGAAAGATGCTTCGGTGGTCCCCTCCCCCAGCATGCTTTCTTCGGGAGGAGGAAGAGGAGGAAAAGGAAGGATAACGATGAAGAGGAAGAGGAGGAGGCTGTCAGAGCATGTTGGGTCCATGAGGGTGTCCAAGATGCTGTTCCGATTCGGCACATAATACTCCTGCTGTTCCTCCGCCTCTTGCTCTTCCTCCTCCTTCATTTCTCATGCTCCTCCTGCCCCTCCTCGACACGACGTCCTCATCCCCGTTCTCCTTCTCCTTCTCAGATTTTCAATTCCTCGACTCCTCGCACGTTTGTCCTCGTCATCCTCCTGCACAACCTTGTCCTTCTCACGTGCCCCCGCCTGCTCATCCTCGCCTCCTCGTCCTCGAAGTTATCCTCGTCATATCCATCGTCTGGTTTCTCTCCCTGCACCTGTTAAATTGCGTCTGTCCCTGCCCTCCCGCTTGACTCCGTGCTCTCTTACACATCCTATTCCTTTTCCTCCGCATCGTCCCCCTCGCCGTCCTCCTGCAACTCCTCATCAGCATGTTCCTCTGACTCCTCGCGCGCACCCTCCAATTACATCACCTCAAGAGCAGGGGGAGGCAGTCCTCCACGTCCCCCTTACCAGAAGGCCCAAATCCCTATATATCAGCACAAGATTGGGAGAGGAGGATTGAAAGCTCGCCATCTGCGTTTTTTGCGATGAGGCACCACCGAGAAGAGGTCGGTTTCCGTAGGGCCAGAAGCTCGGAGCGTGCACGCCTCAGACCAAGCCGCGGGAGCCGCCCCCTCGACCCCCGCCCACGAGGCGGGGCCCGCAGAAACCCTGGAGCCAACGGGGCCACGGCCAGGAACGGGGCCTCCCTGGGGCCACCGACGGATCGCGGTGGGCAAATTCGCTGGGAATGAAACCTTGCGCCGGTCGCACGCGGATGTCAGCCGGCACGCCAACAGGCGGGTCCAACACCAAATCCTTCACCCCCGCCTTGTCGGACAGCCAACGCCTGGCTCTGAGGCGGCGAAACTGGTCTTGCAGCCCAAGGCCCGCAGTTTCCCGAAGGCAAGGCCGCAGCAGAACCCGCGTCGGCTTTAACCCGGTGAAGTAAACCCCGCAGGCCCAACACCAACTTAAAACTCGGTCATCGCCACGCCCGTCGCGCGCCGTGTCCCGAGCATACAACAGTGGGTGCTCGTTGCACTTACAACCCATCTGTGCGTATTCATCTCAACCGTCGGCTGGACGGGCCAGGCAGCAAAACGGAAGGCTCTTGGGGGGGCGTCTCAGGATGGGCTGCCACAGCCTTGCATTGAGCGTCCCCGAGCTTTCCAAGATCATCATGATACCGCCAAACGTCTCCGTCCCCCGCCCACAAGTGGACCTCCCCCGTCCACTGGGCAGGTGCTCAGCACATCTTTCACGCCGTGCGGACTGCCACCCTGCTTCGCAAACTCGTCAGCAACATCATTCCAAGGCTTCTCCCAAAGCGTGGTCTCCTCATGATAAGCGTCCGTTCTAATACAGTGGGCGTTCGTCTCGTGGGTCTCAGAATCATTCGGGGGAAAAACCGAAAAACAGGCCCACAGATGGGTGTGGATTGCACGGGTGTGACTGCAAGGATACAAGAAGACACGAGGTACAAATAGGGGGACCCGTGTTGGAAGAGAGCACAGTCTTTCCTTTTACGGAGGCGTGGGCGCGTCCGTCACAGGCGAGTCATGATAGCCCCAGGGCCTTTGTGAGCCGATAGAGCGGCACACATAGGAGCACTGACAGAGGCGCAGGAGAAGTAGAGGCTGACAGGGGCCTGACAACCACAGTTCCGACCTTTCCTGCAGCCGAGACGCCGCCTCGCCTCAGAAGATGAAATTCCTCTCGCAGGAGATACCGTAGCCGTTACACGTACTACCAGAGCCTCAGTGACGTGCAGCTGGTACAGCTCCACGAACACGTACGACTCGAGAGCATCTCTAAGAGAGATCCTTGAGGCGATTGTCTGCTTCGAGGTCCATGGTGACAATGAGTTCAGCCGGCTTCGCTGCGACCATAGCCTGCCCCATATGATCAATGGAATTCTGTGGTTCGGGTCCACGATGGTCGTATGTTTTGCCAGTGCGCTCCAAGAACCGATCGGCCGCGCTGAGAGCTTTGGTCCACTGAGGAAACCGCATCTCGCCCTTGGGAACCATCTCGACCCAAAGAACCGGGAAGTCGGAGTCCTCGACTACTTCATCTGAATACGAGTGTACACTTGGAAACGCAGTCGGGACGGCCTTCTCTGCGAGGTACATCCTGTCCCTCCCTCATCGTCGCGGCGTGGATCCTGAGCGCCTTGACGCAGACGCCGCCTTCGGTCTGGCACCGCTGCTTGCGGGCGCGCGACTTGAGATAGCACGCGCGACGGCGGCGATCTACCTGCAGCTCAACGACGCAAGAGTGCATATTCATCTCCAGGCTGACGTCAGACCACACATGCACCATGAAGTGGGCGCAAGAGGTACGGCGATACGTCCTTTCGCAGACAGCGCTGTAGACGTTTTAACAGCTCGAAGGTCCTGGCTTCAGCTCCAATGAGCGCTTCTTGCTCCAAAAATATGCCAATGCTGCCGAGTTGGCGCCGTGGTAAGTAACCTCGATATGGGCATCCTTCTTGTTGAGCTCCTCGTCGCGCTGCATCTCCCTACGCAGATCGGCGTCAAATCCATCATCCACCACTGTCCGCTTGGATACGCAATTGGCCCCTGGACATGAGGACCATCGATGAGTCCTGAGAGGCGTTAACGAGTAAAGCGGGCGCCTCAATCCTGAAATGAGCTTCCAGAGCCAACGCGACCAAAACAGTCATAATGAAGGAAGGTGTCGAGTAGGTGGTCTCTCGTCACTTCGACCCTGCGACCCGTCTTCCAGCGGTCGCTGATAATTTGGTTGAAGACCGTCGTGTTCTTCCTGGACAGCTTGGCACTGATGCGCTTTCCTTCAAGTCTTAGATGTATCTCACCCTGCTCCGCTGGAGGTCCTTCCAGTCCTGGAGCAGCGGCGCATTGATCAAGCACCGCCCCAGTCTTCATGGCCCCGGAGACGGATCCACCCATTGGTGGAGGATTGTCGACTAAGCCTCTGAGCGCGCCCGCTGCACCGTTCAACTCGCTGAGGTTCTCCAGCCTGCGCGTCATTGCCCATCGCCACCTCGACCCGCCGAGGATCCGGATCTGGGCCGTGATGCCACCGATGGTCTTCCCACCTTCTCTCGCCTACTCCACTCAACTGTCGACCATCATATGCTGCTCTTCCCGGGGACGACGCCATAGGTTTCTACCGATCTTCGGAAGGTCGTTGTAGTTCATGCTGGGGATGATGGCTAGCGCTGCAGGTGCCCAGCGCGGCAAGTCTCTGAATGGCGTCGCGACGAAAACTGACGCCGGATGAGGACCGGAGGGGTCTTTGATCTCGGTGTCCGCGCACGCCAGGAAGTATGCGTAGGAGGCGTCGTAGTCCTCTGTCGTCGTCAATCTTCAGGTCGTCCTGCACGATTTCGCATGCGAACGCGCTGCGCGACTCCAGACTCTGAGCGATGCCGAATGGCACTTGCGTCAGCAATTTCAGCCAAACAGGCACGGATGGTGCACGGCCATCATCTCCTACGTGGGAACATTGAAGGTCGCGCTGGAACTCGAATTCTGAGCGATCGGCTGAGCACGGCCCTTTAGCACCAGGTAATGGATCACATCATCGGTAGGCCAGCGTCCGTTCCTTTCGAGTTCGGATAACTGTTTGCATGCGGGTAGCAGGCCTGGTAGAGCTATTAGGTCGACCACGGTAACCCAGGCGTTCTCCGGCAGGAAATCAGAGATTCTGAGCACCCAGACATATCCTTCTTCACGGGAGCGATACTGCGGCTCCTGCCCCTCGGGTTGCACCAAGTAGACATGCCCGAAGTTTCTGTCAGGTGGGGTCGTGGGCTTGTCGCTAGGGGTGTCCACCAGGTCGCCCACAAGGATGTGCAGTCCAGCGTCCTCGCCAAGATCCGACTTGCCGCGTGCCTGAGAATGCAATCGAAGTTCAGATCTCGCTCGTGAGCAACGCCCAGATCAACGCGGTCAACTTGTCCTCCTGGAGTGGCGACCGCATTCGAGTAACTCACCCTGGAGCTCCGCCAATGGACGAGGACGTCGACGCCGTTGTTGTCACTGGGGAACAGAACGACTTCGGCCTCGGGAGGAGTGGCATGGCCTCCTCGGGGATTTCATTGGCTGTCTCCTTGGCTGTCTCCTTGGCTGTCTCCTGGACCGCGTGGTCAGCGAGGTAGACGTTGACGCGATGACGCTGTGCTCCTGTCGCAGGTCTCTTGGTTCCTCGCGCCGTTGGAGCTTCGCCCTCCGGTACCTCTGGAGTCGGCACGGGCTCTTCTTGTTCTTCCACTCCTGCTTTTGCCAGATCATCAGCGATGACATTCCTCTCGACGCAGGCTTCGCAGGGCGTCTCGCACTGCCATGGAACAGCGTCGCCGTAGAGGTGGTCGCCTGATGATGCGCCAGGTTGTCCACCACGGGGCTCCGCGTCCTCCGCAATCTCCCTCCTGTTCGT